AAGGACCCTCTGCTGCTGGTTCTGATGCTCCTGAAATGATTGCTGTCTACAAACACCATTATGTGTTTTGCTATTGAGTGTTTGAATGCTGCTGGCTTTAAGGTGAAGGAATGTGTTAGTGCTGTAATTAGTAACATTAACACAGTTTTCATCACAGAATCATCGAATGATTCGGTTTGGAAGGGAACTTCAAAGGTCATCCAGTTCCAACCTCCCTGCCTGGGGGGTTGGCAGGGAACTTTCCACTTGACCAGGTTGCTCAAAACCCCATCCAACCTGACCTTGAACGCTGCCAGTGATGGGGCATCCATAACTTCTCTGGGCAACCTGTTTGAGTGCCTCGCCACCCTAATCATAAAAAAATTCTTCTTTGTGTCCAATCTACCCTCTTTCAATTTAAAACCTGTCATCTTGTCACTGGGTGGGGTGTTGACCTTGGCCTGCTGCCAGGTGCCCACCCTGATGATCTATCACACCTCCCCCCCAGAACCACAGGGAAGGAGAAAATAAGATGGAGAGAAAAAAAACTGTGGTTCACAATAAAGGTAGTTTAACAAAGAAAAAGCAAAGGCTGCACAAGGCAACAAAGGGAAAAAAATATTTATTCTCTATTTTCATCAGCAGGCAGTCATTGTAAAAATGAGGAATCAAGGGTTGTAACATGGAGTCCTGCTTGTGCACCCAGCTTGGAGGCACCTTTATTGCTGGCAGTAGCAAAGGGGTTTTAGGTAGTGCCAACTTCTCCTGCCTTCTTTCTGGTACACATACACAAGCTAGATGAAAAATGCAAGCAAACCCATTTTGATAGCAGTCTGGGAACCAGGTGGGACTCTATGGGCTCCCCACCTGGTGAGTGTGGTGATGGCACATGACACAGCCAGTACTTGGTGAGTTCACCCAATTGCCCTTGCAGGATCCACACTCCCTGGGAAGGTAACTAAAACTGGGGACAGTCATTGAGGGGTTCAATAGGTAGGGTAACATGGGGTTCACTGGTGACAGAAATTCTGAAAACTAGAAGAAAATTTGCAGTACTTCAGGACTGCCATCAAGCATCAGGACACAGGACTGTGTCAGGATGAGTGGCTGGAATGCTGGAGGGGAGACCCTGGACCACTGGTCCTGGGGAGGTTGTTTTGATATGAGCCAGTTGACCTTCCTGACTCCTATGTGATACATTTTAAGGCAGAATTGCCTCATAGGGCAAATCCCTGCTCACTATTCTCCATCACCTTCTTGTCCATCACAGGACAAGTTGGAAATAATTTCCAAGATCTGTTGCTCTATCACCTCCCCACGAATGAAGGTGCAGTGAGGGTCCTGGAAAAGGAGAAGGAGTATGGTGTGCAATGGTTGAGGGAGGAGTAACACCTGGATGGTCTTTGTTTTCCAGGAAGAGTAACAGAGTAAGACCAGGGAATTGTCTGTCTTGCAGAGGAAAAAAAAAAAACAAAAAAGCAGCAGTCTGTGGAAGAACTGGCAAACTGGTAACAATGGACATGGAGAAGGCTGAGCTACTCTATGAATCTTCTGCCTCAGTTTTCACTGGCAACCTCTCCTCTTATGCCTCTTGAGTCTATGGCTCTCAAGGCAGGGACTGGGGAAGCAAAGTCCCTCCTATTGTAAGAGAAGATCAGGGTTGAGAGCAGCTGAGGGACCTGAGCATACCTAAGTCTGTGGGGCCTGGTGAGACGTGTCCTACAGCCCTGATGGAATTGGCTGGTGTAGTTGCCAAGCTATTCTCCATGATATTTGAAGTCATGGAAGTCAGGTGAAGTCCCAGTGACTGGAAGCAGCCTGTGGAAGAAACAATTAGTGAAATGCTCTCAGGTTCACAGGCAGCAAGCACAGCCTCCTCTGGGTGCCTCCAGTGTGAGCAGCAATTGCAAGTGGGATCTGGTGGGAGTTGTATGTCTGGGCACCAGGATGCACATTCCAAACCACCTCAATGGGCAGCACTTACTCACTGGACACCAGCTGAAAGACCTGCAGGGCTACTTCTGGCTGGGGAAGGGATATGGGGACTCTCTGGAAAATCCTGGCCAAGCCCAGCCTATTCATCCCACATGGGGACTTAACTGCTTTCCAGAGTTCTCTGAGGCCTCAACTGGGCTTTGCTGGGACCAGCTGGAGGCCCCTGCTGCCCTCCACAGGCCCTCCCACTCTTAAAAAAGTCTAAACATCCCCAAAAAATCACTTTTAATTAGAAATTCACTTCTGAAGATAATCTGGAAATTGGTATAGGCTATATTTATTTAAGCTTTTTAGCCCCACCTTGATCATCTTCCTTCAAAATAGGACAAAACGGGAGGGCAACAGGGGAATCCAGAAGGCCTCAGCAAAACCAGATGAGATCCTGAGTCACTACAGAGGGCAATTAGTGGCCCTGCAGGGTGTGTGCCCAGAGCTGGGTGCAGCACTGTTGGTGGGGTCTCACCAGAGCAGAGCAGAGCAGAGCAGATGTGACACGTGCACAGTGACAGCTCATGTCCAATAAAGCAACCAGTATTCCCAGGTTCTCCTCTTGCTCTCAATCCAATCATCCCCCACTCTGCACAGGTACTGTGGATTGCCCCAGCCCAGGTGCAGGACCCTACACTTGGCCTTGTTGAACTTCCTGGGGTTCACATGGGCCTCCAGCCTGTCCAGATCCATCTGGACAACATCCTTTCTCTCAAGTGACTCACCTGCACCACTCAGCTTGCTGTCATCCTCACACTTGAGGAGGGTGCATGGTGTGGTAGCCAAGTTTATCTGAGCCCTTCCCTTGCCAGATGGACAGGGCAGGTCAGCACCTGTCGTGGCCTTCATGACAGTTTCTGCAGCTGCCTATAAACGTTGCCCTTTATCATTGAGTTGTGGGGGCCTGTTAGGATTTTCAGCATAACTAATTGCTGAAATTGTAAACTGTTTTCCATCAAAACTGAAATTTCATTCACTTGATGTTCAAGTTGTGTTGTCTGAACCAACACAAGCTGTTCTCCTGATCCAGCTGAAATTAACTCTTAACTCACAGTGGCCGTTCTGGATTATTTGCTTGACCCTTAGCTACTTCTCATGAGCTATGTTCTCCAAAATTTTTGTAGGCAAACTGTCTTGCCCCACAGAGCTGAAAAGAGCTTCTTCATGGACTTCACAGGTCATGGCCAGAGTAAATCAAGGTCTACAAACTTTTCCCCAAATCCCCCTCTGTACCTCCCATAACAGGATCAGTGAAATGAACTACATTTAGAAGGAAAATCTTAATTAGTCTGTTAGGACACCTTAATTCTGTTTCTGTTGATTTCAGAAGAAAAAAAATATGTTTGTTCTTCATCTGGGCTTTAACTGCATGGGACTCATTCATCTTTTGAAAGAGAACAGAGTGAGGTGTACAGGGCAAGAGAATATGAAGAAAAAGTCTTCTTTTTTATTTGAATGGTTGCTATATTCAGATAATTAAGTAGAATTATCATAGGAATAAAAATCAAATTTCCCTTCTCCCCAAGGAATCCAAAAAATATTGCTATGTACAGAATTTACAGTTATATGCAATAGTTGATTATTATTATGGACTCCAAAATTTGGTATTACCAGTTAAAACACCCATACTGAAGCTAGAGCAGGATGTGTCTATCCTGTATCTTTCATAATGTTTTTTAAACTTTCCAGGTATGCTTCCAAAATTATTGCTCTTCCAAGGATGAGAAACCTTCTTCACCTGCATACAATTATCATCATCCACAGTCTACATAATTAAATTGTATTCATTTCTGAGCAGGTGAGAAGTCAAGGAAAAGAGGCCAGAAGTGCAAGTGTGTTTAGGGTTGTTTTCTGTTGGAGGCAGATGAAACATGATACAAAGCAGGTGTGGAAAAAATAAATCTACTGATAAATCAACAGCTGTTAGGCATCTTGGTAACTTTGGATGGAAATCCTTTGTTTCATTAATTTTCTTTTGCTTACAGAAGCTTCCTTAGTTTTCATTAATTATTTGGCAGAAAGTTTTCCTGGTTTGGTTCAAGCTGCTGAACCTCTGTAGCTCCCTTTATAACTCTAGCCCATGGGCACTACAGAGACCCAGTTTATCTTTAAAAACTAGAGGCAATGAAGAACTCAGCAGTATCTCTAACTTCATGTTCAATCAGATGACCACAGAAAGGATTTCAAAGCATGTGCAATTAAATGAATTGGAACTCAGTCCTGATGTGTTACTAGTAGGACTTTGTTTCTTTAACTCAGCTTCACTTTTCAGTCTGAACCTTCACAGCTGCTCTTCATAAGGAAAGTTGCCCTGAGCTGGCAGGATGGGAGGTTTGTAACCAGGTGGGCTGGGATACACCCATGTTGCTGACCAGTGAAGTGAAGGTAAGGTGAATGTAAGGTGTCTTCCATAACCAGAACTGTCAGTCTCAGTCCATGTCAAAGGCACCAGGCCCCATCCTAAGAGTCCTTGGGAACAGCCATCCTTGCTGTGCAGCTCAAGCAGAAACAGCTCTGAGACAGTGCTGTTGCAGGACCTGTGCTTCCCTGCCAGCCTGAAGGCAGTCCCCCTGAATCAAGATTAAAGTTTGATGAGAGCACAAAGGTAGCCTGCTGCTGACAGCATTATCCCCGTTTGCTACGGAAATAGCAGCCTTCAGTCTCCTTATTCAAGTGCATAAAATGCATAGTAGTAAACTGTGCGTTACCCTCTTTCAGTTGCCTGGACATAAGAAAAACAGTTACTGTCATTCTGGTATACAAATATGCTGCCAGGGGCAGGTGATAGGCAGTAGCAGTGTTGCACTGTGAGCAGCATTATTCAGATGTGTTCTTCCTGGGATCCTGATGCACCTGAGGTTCACACATTAGCAGCCTTGTCTTTTTAATCAGGGAAATGAAGCATACATAAGCAACAAAACAAGAGGCTTGAAATCATCTTCATTTGTATTATACAGAATTTCTATATTCATCAGTACACAAACGATTGCTAAACAGGCCCTCACTATATTTACTTGCATTTCCAAACAAGGTAGTTATTATGCAAACAGGTTAGCTTTGTGGAGGCATCTCCAGGATGAACTTAACCCTGTCCTGTTCGGTTCCTCTTGCCTGAGCCTTATAGGTCTGTAAATGTTCATGTTGTTATAGGGCACTGTGGAGTTCTCAGCCATGTAGTGTGGCTGATAGTAGTTAGGTTGGATGGCCTTCTGTGCAGGCGGGGGAGTGAATGAGACGTAGCTGTGGAAGGAATTGACTCGCTGGAGAGGTGACTGGGGGGTGAAGTTGCTGTTGAACATGGGAGTTCTTGGGGTCTGCTTGCTCTGGTGGGTGCTGCCAGCGGAGAGGCTGCTCAGGGGGTCAGAGAGGGTGTTGGCACTTCCCTCGTCACTGTAGGGGAGGCTGCGCAGGGGGGCCCAGCTCCGGCTGAACAGGAAGGGAAGGCTGCGCGGAGGGGTCTTGGGGCCCCGCACGGGCTTGGACAGCGCGTACAGGTGCCGGAACTCCTCGTCAAACAGCTCCACAACCTGGCCCGTGAACTTGGAGAGGAGGTTGCGGTGAACCTGGCCACACAGCCACGTGAAGCTGGAAGGAGACACAAGGTAAGGGTTAGAGTTAACGCTGGCCATCAGGAACGGCAGAGCCCCCACAGGGATGATGCAAAAGGCAAATGCGTTTTACTGCTGAAGCTTCTTGTCTAAACACAGGATGAAGATGGTGTCGCAGTTGAATTTCAGGTCAGTTCACATCAGTGCTCTTTGATTTGGATCAATCTTTGTTATTGCAGCTGCCTCTAAAACCTTCAAGAAACCTTGTAAAGTTATGCAACCTCCTCAAGGGAGTGGTGATCCAGATCCACTGCAGGAATAAATGGCAGATACAATACCCGAGGTATGGGTGTCTGTTCCATGGAAAGGAGTTTAGACCCCTCTTTTAGGGACCTCTTTTCCATTCACAATGCTTAAATTCAGGTCTTGCCACGTCTTACCTGCACACACATAAATTGTACCTTGTACCCTGCAGCATGCCGTGCCACTTGGTAACTCTCAGCTACTCCAAGTGACATCAAAAAGTCTAGGAAAAAAGAACCATCCTTTGTTTTCATTTTTTCTGTCTTCTTTCTTCATTGGTCAAGAGAAATACATAAAACCCCAACCTTCCTGTCACGTCCCACACCACAAAACAAGCTGCCACACCTGACAAATCCTTGTTTTCTTTACTACAGAGAAAATGAAATTACAAATATTTCCTACAGCATTTCCAAAAATAAATGTAATACTTTGCTATAAGGTCAGGGAGAAACACCACAATAGTTTTAATTCTGGTAGTTCAGAGACACACCTTAGGATAACCCACAGCTTTTAAATTATTTTTCTTTTATGTGCTTCCCTAATCCACTCAGCAAACATAAATTTGTGCTTTTACAAAACCACAAGCCAGCTTGATTGTGTTGCACAGGCTGCCGTGTCTGAGCAGCAGCAGCACCAATAAAATGAGCATAGTTGAGAGAATGAAATGTAATTACTCCCTGAACTGACCAGAGCTTGAGCTGTGCAGCAGAGGATACAGAACAGTGGTGAATTTGAATCTGAGGTTATTCTGTGTTGGCAAAACTCTGCCATGGTTATTCCTGTGTGACTTTATTAGCTGTGCTAGATTTGCACGAGGGCTGCTGAGAGCCAAATTTGGCTGTAGGTGTGCGAACTTAAAATCTTGTCAAGTTTTGATAAAACTCCCGTGAAACTCAGTGGGACTGACAGCCTGAGCTGATACTGAGGCAGTAAGACATAATTTACATCTGCTTGCCCAGAGCATTCCTAAAGAGATTTGGGTTTGAGGTATACAGTGCTTTTATACTGTTGCTTCAAGAGCAAGGGGAGGAGTGAAGAAATCACTAGTCCAATGCCACCGGACACCCATACAATTTATACTGTACCTTTTATGATTGGATATGAAAACACACAGTAAGTTACCAAAATACAGGTACTTCTCACCCACTGTATTCAAATTATTCTAAATATGGACAAAACCTCGGGAGCCAAGGTAAAGAGCACAGCAAGCTAACTCCCAGCTGGGTGTGTAACATCTGCTGTGCCAGCTCAGCATTGCCTTTATTCACTAAGCAGTGCTTTCTAAACCTTTGCATGTCCTTCATCTAACTGTTAAATAGGTCAGGAATAAATACAAAAATGCACACAATTTTTCTAAGATATCTACACTGAAGGTTACAAACTCATGAAAGGGCTGAGGTCTAAAGCATCATGTTTATATTTTATGTGCTAGAGATACACTTAGTTTATAAAAGAAAATCTACACAGAAGTAAGAATCAATTACACTTGTAAATGGTTTTTAAAAGCCTAACAAAATCAGAGGAAAAAACCTGTTCTGCCCAGTCTTGATAACTTACTCCCACATGTATCTTCCTGGAGTACCTGACAGATACTAGTTTGTGGATCACTGATTTTACCTGCTACCCTTCTAAACAGAGAAAGTTAGATCAAATGAACAGCCCAGAGATTCTCCAAGAACTCATGTCAAATGATCATGCTCAAAGTTACAAGGTAAGATCTTTGTGATTTTAGACAAATGCTTGTGAACTTGTTGTGTAGAAAGTCACAGCAATTTACAGTCTGTGCACTTTTCTGGAGAACAAAACAGAACTTGGCATAAAAGACAACAAGTTTTCATTGGCTTCATTCTAAGAGAAAATGCATTGTTTAGGTTTTAGGCCCAGTTTTGCTCCTTAGTATACCATTCTGAGTGCTCTTTTGGGACAGACTCAGAGGAGTCTGTTATTGTTACCACCTGCCCAGAGGGATTGTTTTTCTCACAGGTTTTCTTGGGTGAGGCCAATTGAAGAAAAAGCACAAATTGGTTTGGGGCCAATGCTGTATCACAAAGCCACTGACAGATACTTCTCAGCCATCTTTCCAGGGCTTTGTCTTGTGCCCTGTCACAGACCCTCTCATTTATGATTGCCTCAATCAAATCCTACCTCTCCTGTTCAGCACTGGACTTGTTTTATAATGTGTCCTCTCTGCATTGCTGAAGCTGCAGTTCACTAGGGATGTGCTCATCCCTGTGCTTGTAGGGCTGCAACAACATGCAGCACAACACATATGGAATCTGAGAAGGAAGTGCGGGAGGAAGGAAGTGCGGTAGGGAGGGAGGGAGGGAGGACTGGGGTTTTCAGCTGGGATCAGGTTTGGGTTACCCACATCTTAGTGCTGCCTGGTGGATAACCTGTGTGGGAGAAAACTGCCCCACCTGATGCTCCTGGCAAAGCAGCCCGTGTTAGTTGTTAGATGCTGACTCTGAAGAGGCCAGTGGCTTTCAGAGTGGCAGCCAGGGAGATACTCAGCTGACCCTGGGGATCAAGGTCTGTGCTTTCTGTGGTTTTCATTTTGCCTTCTTTAGGAATGCTGAGTTCATGCACTATCTAATTTCAAATTAATTTTAAAAATGGAATAAGTTATCATAGGATGAGGTAGAGTGACAGAGACAGCAAAAATAAATACTGCATTCTAACCCCTCATGATAGAAACTGGCAATAAAAATTGAGAGCATGTCCTAAGGAGCTATTTTATTTCCTCAGCCTGTTCCCCCACCACTATTACAACATCATGCAGAACTTGGCACTTCGGTGAAATCTGGCATTGTGTTTTAAAAATCTTTGTATCAGTTTTAAGATCTATTCCAGTGTGATTTCCAACAAATGCACTGTAGAAGGGTTTGAGTCTGTTTCACTCAACATCATTCTTGTTTATACCTGAAGAGGTTGGTTGGTAAGATTTAGGCATAGCAAAAATCCTTCCGATTAATAAAGTGAGAGCTAGCAAGAAATGCCACATACTTGTAGCGTGTTATAACCAATGTGAATTGCAAACTGGTGCTGAAGTTAAGTAGTTTTTTTATAGTTTTAAATACATTTGTTCCTCACCACCCTCTCTGTGTGCTGAACATGGAATTACATAGTTTGACAAGGTACTTGAGATTAGAAGATATTCAACAGCAGTAGAGAAAGACAGAAGTAACTGCACAGGACTTCAGGAGTTTTTAGTATTTTTGGTATTGAAAGAGAAGCCAAAAGGAAGCTTCTTGGTCAAAGAAAATAGATCTTGTTCTGTTCTTCTCCCACACATCCTTCACTTGGATTTCAATGCATCTTTAGCGAGGGATTAAAAAACACCCAAAAAAATAAGAAAACAAAAGAACAGTCAATAAAAAAAACCCAACCCTGAGTGTCCACTAAGTTTTGTCTGATGGTTCCTTTGGAAATGGAATGAAAAGTGGGTGCCTCTGTTAGTGTACATCTGAGCTCCTGCAGCCCATCCCCAAAAATTCACTTTTTCCTTCATTACTACAGTTCTGTAAACTTGCTGGTGGCATAGTTTTACCAGAGCAGAGGCATTTAAGCTTCCAAATCATAAACTTGGATTAAGAAAAAGAATCATATAATTTAAAATAATCAATCACCTCTTGTATTTTTGTACCTGGATTTCTAGGATACACTTGGTCATTTGTGAAACATTTCTACGTAGCCATGATGCTGAGAAACTTCATTTATTTGATGCAAGCTCAGAGTCTCCTGAAATTCCCTGACCAGAGGATCTAGGATCTTAAAAATCTAGTTGTTGAGATGCTATATCCACTACCTGAAATGATTATAGCAGCACAAACAAAACAAACAAAGAAAGAAAATTTTAAAAAAGAGAAAAAATGAAGGTGCAGCAGTTATGTAGATATATACTGCCTACCTGTTAATGAAACACAGGGAAAAACAGTAAGTCTCTGAAGTATTTCTGTTTTACCTTTAATCACTAAATTTGTCCTATGAAGAACAAATCCTTAGATATACTGAGTGACATATGCTACATTAAGGGATCCTGAGGGAGACAGAAATGTATCATATTTCATGATCACAACACTTGAGAACCCAAACAATAAGGAAAGCATAATATTAAGCTGTACACATTTCTAGTTTTGCCCCAGGGCTACACTGACAAAGTTGTTTATGTTAGTTCCTGAACATTTAAATTAAAACCCATGCTCCATAAAGAACTAAGAGCAGCTTTAAAGCAAGTTAAGTAGATTTTTTTGAAAAATGGCATTTTTTGAAAACATGAGGTGTTTTTTGTTAAACAAAAGCTTCTTACCATACAAAAATTTCCATGGCACTTTTTTGGGGAAGAAGAATTTAAAATCATAAAAGAGTACCTAGACATGAAGTGCAGTGGCTCATCTCACCTGTAAGATCCAGATAGCACGTATCTCCAGTCAGAGATAAGAAATTTTTCTCGAATTTGTCCTGAAAATTTCCTCCCTGACTTGGCACAGTAAACCTCTCCAGTAACACTGCGGACTGAAATATTCTGTAAATAAAAACAAAATTGAGTGAATTATATGTCTTTTTAATTAAAAATCATACAGAGAAGGCCCTTTTCCCACACTGCCTTTAGCTCTTCACTGCCCCAAAGTCAAATTTCTTCATGGACTCTCTGATGTGGTATTTGAAGATTTGTGTCCAGAGGAAACCTAGCCAAGGTCTTGCCACCCCAGCCAAAAGGAGCACAGATGTGTCCCTAGCTGGGAGCAGCCTGTTGCCCTCCACAGGCACACCAGGCACAATCTGCTGTAGCTGTACTCCCTTTACATTGGCTGTGCCATGACACAGCAGGGCAAAACCTCTGCTCCTCCAATCCATCTGGGCCTGCAAGGACACAGGTGCTGCTCTGCTGGAGCAGCCCAGACAAATGCTGTCCTTTGGGATCAGGTGCAGGTACTCGTGTGAGGGGAGATGCAGGTCAGTTTGGCCCATGGGATGCTCTGCACTGTCCTTGTACCTGAGCAAGTGCCTTTAAGACCCTGATTCTGCTGTCCATACACACACTTTGCAGAATCAAGGCCTTAGAAATGAGTGGCACCAAGGATTTGACATGCACGTTGTAGAGGCCTATGTGCTGTAGCAGCAGACTTGGAATAAACAGCACAGGCTTGTTCTCCTTAGGAGTGAGGGTTTACAGACATGCAAACAGTTATGAACGTGCATTATTAATTTCAGCTTCTTTATATATTTGGGATAGAATTCAGCTGTTGAAAACCATGTGTCTGGTGCATGTAAGATGCCCTCAGGCTTCCTGTGTGCCCACAGCTGCCATTCCAAAGGTCTGTGGCCTCTGCAGTATCACCCATCCCCAGGGAGATGCCATAGGAGCTCTACAGCATCTTAAGCAACAACTGAAATAATTCCTAGGAGGGGCTCTTTTAAAGCCAGTTCCCTCTGACAGAGATGAAAGCAGATTAAACTTACAGCCACCTAAATCTGAGGTGTTACCTTTAAAAGAGCTTTAACACATTTTATCCACCCAGTGGTTTTATCCAGAAACCACCCAGTGCAACCAAGCTATGGCCGTGCAAAACAGTTTTGTGCACCTTCTCCCCGTGGCTGCCAGACCACAGCTGCTGCAGAGCTATTAAACAGAAGCAGTTCTAATGCCTACATTAGATAACTCTACTAGGGAAATTTAAGTCCTGTTTTAAGACTTCAGGGCCAAGATTGGTTTCATCTGGGGAGCTAACAGAAATGCCTTACCTTCCTATAATATCCATGTGAAAACATAGGCATCTCCAAAGAGGAATTTGGTGTGCTAACACTACCCCAGGAAATCTCTTGCTCCCTTTTAATTAGAAGGTGGATTGACCTTAGCATAACCATGCTTCTAGCTCAGAGTGCCTGCAGTTAGGCAGACAACTCTCAGCCTTAGAGCTTCACAGAGCCACAGTACCTTGAAGAGATCCTCAGCAATTTGCAACTTGTCGCACATCTCCGAGAAAAGATCTATACTGCCATGATCGAGCAGCAGGTAGACAAAGACCATGCGCTTGTTAGCTGCCTCCAGGAGGTCACAAAGAATCTCAGTGTCTGTGAACACATCCATCACGATAGCTAACACCTTCAGAAAAAGAGCAGAGGCATCAGTAGAGTCAATTTACATAACTTAAGGTTGCTATGAGGACAGTGTGATGTAGTTTATTTGTTAAAAAAAATATTCCAATAAACACAAATACTCTGTTATATGTGGGTATTTTTTCTGGTTTTCTCCCTAAGTGCTTGAATCACTAAACTGATGAAACACATTGCCTCATTGTTTTTTGCTTATATAAAGCCAATATAACACCTCACATATAACCCAAAATGATCCATGAATTTGCAGGTGAGATTTTGGCACTAGGAAATATATTGAAATACTTATTGGAGAGCAATAGGGATGTAGCTAAACAAAAGACCACAGCCCTTGCCACACAGCTCACTAGGTGTCATAAGCGACATGTATTCAGCCTGGATGATGCTTTCTCTTTTATGATTTACACCTGGACAGCCTTGGCTTTAAAAAGCCTCACCCTGTTGCTGGTGATGGTGGGATGACAGACTCCAACAGCTCCATTTTTTTTAAAACACTGATTTATAAACTAATCGTTATAATCTGACCACACATCCATGCTCCCCAATTCACAACTGGCAGAAGAGCGTGTAAAAGTCTCAGGACTGGGCATAAAACCCCTGACAACTATTTAAATGCATAGTCTGCAGCCAGTGTGGATCAAGGGACCTATAAATGTGATATAAAACCAGGTCCATACTAGAAAGTTCTGGTCTTGTCTGATGTCTAATTGCCCGTGGAAAAGGTCAATTCAGCCCAGCTACTACCTGACAACTTCAGGAGATGCCTGTTTCTTCACTGACTAGAGAGAGAACCTTTGATAACTGTGCTCATGGGATATCACCTCCAATGAAAACAAACTTTACAGCATCTTTGTAGATCTGTCTTACTAATTGCTTCCAGCTTGCTCTGAATCTTACTCCAAGGCCTATGTCCACACCTAACAGCAAGCTTATTCCCCTTGCCACCACGAGGATATCCTACAAGACCAGGCACATCCTGCGCAGCCAGCGTCCTTTTCAGGCAGCCAAACTGTTTGTGGAGCAATGAGGATCTCACACCTTACTCCTGCTGCCAAAACCTGGTGCTTCAGAAAGAGCTTTGCCATGGCTAGGTAAGCACAATTATGTCAAATATTTCACATCCACACTTCCTGCTAATGCCCCAGCTCCAGCCCATTGTTTCTAGTACTGCTTTTTACTGTCTGTTCCGAATTTGTATTTCTGCACCTGACTTACTTTTCATACTTGCAGTACTTTCTTTTGCCTGAATTTCATTTTGTGATCTGCACCAATTCCACAAATGTCTTAAAATTGTTGTATTACTTTCCAATCCTTTGCATTTTGAGGTCATCCATTAACACAGCTTTTATTCTGTTATTTAATTTTGCAACGCATGTATCAAATACTAGGCTATCCAGGATGGACCCTTACCAGACGCTATTTAATAACTGGTGCCATTGGAAAACTGTGCTCAAAAAGCAGTTGACAAATTTATATTAAAATTTTAAATTAGATTATTAAGGTCACGTGAAACATGGGTTTATATTACATTTCCCAATTTTTCACCTACAAGTTTTCTTTTCTTGGGACAGAAAATTCTGAATTGATATTTTACCTGATTCCTATTTTATTATTCCAGAGACATTTCTATAATTCCCCTGGTGTGGTAAGCACTTGTAGGCTTTGAGAGAGCAGTTGCCAACGGGGATCCTTCTCCCCTGCCATTACACTCTGTTACCAGGGCCAGCACCTGCCCATGCAGGGGAATAACAAAGCGGAAGGAACCCTGTGGCTCCAGAGGGCTCCAAAGTCTCTGCTGGGCAGCACTATTGCATCCTGGCTTGGCTCCTGACCATTCCTCCGTGAAACTGCTGCTGCTCTTCTGAATTTACATAAGGGCAAAACTCATGGATGATGGTAAATACAACCCTGAAGTATCCCAAATTTTTTTTTCCAGGAAAACAAGAGAACTGCTAGAACATGACATCAGTTTTCTTTCCCCCTCCAGCTCAGTTCCTGATTTCCCAGACTGTGGGCAGCCTGGCTTTATAGTGTGGCTGGCACCTCTGTGGCCTCCATCACCTGTAGGTAGTCAGGAGCATCCTTTGCACCTTTCCCACATGCCAAGTTATGCTGCAGAGTCTCTGTATAGAGCCCACATGACATTTTAACTGATACAGACAGTATATTAGGGATGAAAGGTGTATTTTCTGATTAATTTCCTTCCTCTGGGGATGGCTGCTGACATACCAGACATACTTGCATCCCCTTCACCCACATCTCCCACAAATCCCCTTGAACAATTCCTAATAGCTAAGAGCTCACTTAGGCTTAATTCTCATTAGTGGTGCAATGGTTTGAACAGATCAAACCGTCCTGCTGGGGGTACATGAGAAGGGACAGAGGGAAGCTGCCCTTTCTACAGCACATTTAATCCACTGGGTGAATGGGAGGTTACAAGAGAGAAGAGGGAATGCGTTTTTTTAAGCCATCAACATAAAAAAGTGTTGGTGTGAATTAAAAAAAAATAATTTTAAAAGTGCTGCCTGTGTTCAACAACAGGCTCTTCACAGCCACTTTCTAGAGCAAAGCTACACTGCAACACACAGGGCTGCCTTGAATTAAGCACCATGTTCAGCTGAACTTGTAAGAGCAAGAAACAACCAAGTGCAAAGGGAACAGCAATTCTCTGCTCATACCTGAGTGGTCTTGTGGATGTACCGGCGTATGATGTCTCTAATGTTGCTGTTCTTCTCTGTTTGGAAATACACAGTGGCGGTGGATTTTTCCTTTAAATAGGGCTTCTCTGCTGTAATCCATGTGTGGAGCAGAGCCGGCTCACTGTTGTCAGAAATGGTGGGGAAGTAGGTCCCTGAAGGGAGTGACCCAGCGTCATTCTGCTTTGGCGCGGCTGCCCCGTCGGCACCGGGGGTCTCCTGTGCATAATAGGACTCTCTGGCGTTATCCTTGATGTACTGAGCTTCCACCGAGGAGAGGAAATCCACCTCACCCTCTCTGCTTAGAGTTTCGAGGTAAGAGTCTCTCCCACCATCCAAGAAGGCGTCAGTGGCCAATCTTACGCTTTCGTTGTGGCTGAAATCCACTTTTGTCAACTTCAGGGACTGGTTCTTGATATCCTCCAGCCTCTTCCTTATCTTGCCCATATGTCTGGGGTGGTTCATGGCTCTTTGTCGCAGCAGCCGATCTGCCGGGCAGGCACCATGCATATGCGTGCCACAGGCAGTGCAATCGTCCTTGTTTGAGGACTGCATTCTCGCATGAAATCGCCTCGGCTGAGCGAATTAACTATGAATAAAAATAAAGAGATCTTATTACCACAGGCAAATTCACACTCCCTGAATTTGTCTGTACAATTATCTTCAAAACGAACCTGAAGCTTGCTTCTCAGGTGGTGATGTACTCCGGCAACAATCTGTTTCCAGACGGGACACAAGTGCAAAGCTGATTAGATTGCTTATCTGAGAGGCACCCACCTCAGCCCCAGGGCATACGAAGGATTCGAGTCAAATTTACCACGGCCGTCGGATTCGATTGTATTTCCCTTCCTGTCGCATCCTGTGAAATATGAGTGAGGAAAGCACTCAAGCAAAAGCAGGTAGGCTCCCAAGCATCATTGCACAATCTTCAAAACAGCTTGAGGCTTCTCTGTCTTCCCATGGTATTCGTTAGGGAGAAAAAACAGCTCTGATGTTGAATTGGACCGGAGACAGCAGCCATGTCCATGGCTTCAAAACAGAAAAAAGGGTCATGGGCTCTGTTCGGCACCTACATGCTGCCAGGCAGGCTTAAAAATAGATGTAAACTTCGTCACTGTGCCCCGTCCGGGGTATGTTGCTATTACCATAGACGATTCACTCACTTATTTCTTTAAAGCTTTGTGACTACGCCATCCTATTATGAGAAAAATACCCCTTCCCAAACATCCTGAATATTACGTGGAGGGAGGGTTGTGAGCTGGCCTCAAAGCATCAGAAATACAAACACTCATCACTTGATTGTGCACATTTAAGGCTGCTTTTTTTTTTTTTTTTTTTTTTTTTTTTTTTTTCATTTCTTCCCAGGCTGCAGCTTCTGGAGTCACGTTGTCCCCGTGGCAGCTCTCTGCTGTGTCATTAGGTGGATGGGTTGCAGCGGGGGTGACAGGCCAGAGCCCGGGGGCAGCCGGGCCGGCCGGTCTGACGGAGGAGAGGCGGGGCGGGAGCACCTGCCTGAGGTGTCCATACCTGTGTGCGTGCCTGGCTGCAGCGCCACGTGTGACACACTTCCTCACGCGGGTGGGCTGGCCTCGGCCCGGCAGCTGTGTGTCCGTGCACCCCTGTGCCGCGGCTCCAGCGGGGATGTGCCGGCCTGGGCTCCAGTGAGGGCGGCTGAGGCCGCGTGTGGTCAGGAAGAGGATCCCGCCGCGCCGGCCTCGGGAGCACCGGCGCCTTCAGGGACGCACAGGGACAGTTTCTCAGGGCAGCTTCACAGATTCTGGGTCTATGTCAGGTGCCCTGTGGGGTGGGGAAAAAAAAAAAATCACCCGTAAAGATAAGATAAAGATTTACGAAACACAGAAGAGTATGGAACGGCTCGGATATTAATCCCGAAGCGACCACGTGGGCCTGAGGAGGGGCGGTGGCGGGGCCGTCCTGAGCTTCTGGGGTGATTTTAAAAACTACCCCGTCCCTCCCTCCGCCCCCAACATCCGCCCGCAGCTGCCAGACGCGGCCGAAAGTCACTAATTATCTCCTGACCTGTTCTGCGCAATTAGGCCGAAAATGATGCCATCTAATTACCCTGACATGCAGGACTGTGTCCTGCCAACGCCGATCGAGGGCAGGGACGGCCCCCCCTCCTCGGCCAGGATCTCTCATGGTCACCCCGGTGTCCCTTTAGGGTCACCTTGGCCCCCCACATGAGCACGGCGGGGCTCCTCACAGGTTATACTATGGGACCTCACACTGTCACCCCAGCGAAGCCTTACTGTCACCCTGCAGCCTCACATGATCATTCCGAGCCCCCGCGCTGCCAGCGCAGGATCCCGCCCGGTGGGAGCGGTGTGGGCGGAGGAGAGGCCGGGCCGGGCCGGGCCGTGTCCTCCCGTGGCCCCGGCAGAGCGAGGCCGCTGGCAGGACCGAGAGCCCTCGCGGAGGTAGCGTTCTCAGCCGCCTCGTTAGCGCAGTAGGTAGCGCGTCAGTCTCATAATCTGAAGGTCGTGAGTTCGATCCTCACACGGGGCAAAGGCGGGCCGCACTTTTGCCGCCTCCCCTGCGCTTTCAGCTGCGACCAACTCGCACGACACGGCGCTCAGAGCCGGTGGGTGACTTCCAAGACGTGTTTGTCGTGATTTCCGAAGCTGCAGTTGCAGGTCAAGGGCCTGTTTATCCCGGTGCTGGGCTCCGGGCATTAACTTCTGCAGCTGTTCTAGCTTTTGGCAGCCGGTTTTCAGCCTCTGCGCTGCCTGCGAGCCCGTAGAGCGATGTGGGGACGGGGAAAGGGCTCCTGCGGTGGGCGGTGGGCACTCCCGGGGTCAGGCTGTGGCCAGGGCACAGGAGCTGCTGTGGGGACACGGCAGGACACCGGCCCTGCCTGCCAGAAACACTCCAGTTTATGCACATTTACAGCTTTGCCGTTTGTACAAACCACAAGCGCATACACGTACAGCCCACAGTGCAGGCTAAAACCTCAGTGGGTTTATTACTTCCCTTTAAATATAGAAATAATCATATGTAAACTCCGAGACAGTCATTGGAAAAAGACAGATTTTCTCATCTACTTCTGCCTCTGAGATGATCTGGCCTGTTGCATTTTTCTCTCTTTGAAAAGGAATGATGCCTCTTCACAGTAAGGGCTGCAATGAGATTTCCATGCGTCCTGGTTGCTGCTAATGTGACTCTACTTCCAGATGCAGAGGATGCTAAGGAAAGGATAACCAAGTACCTTTGTGCTTTTAGATTTTCATGTAATTTAACAAGAAGCAGAAGCTGTTCCCAGCGCCAGGTGACAAAAAGCTGCTGGTTAGAAGTATCATTTTTGGCAGTCCCAGTGCCTCAGCCCCCAGGGCCAGCACCAGCAGCCCTGCTCCAATGCTGCCATCCCAAAGAGCATCAGCAAAACCCCAGGGGAAGCAGAACAAATTAAGATCCCAGTCCTTGTATTTTCACAGGGCCAAGTCTACCCCTGTATCAGCACTGTGTGTAGCAATTATGGATGCATCACTTCAATTTACTTTGCCCTATTCTTTTTTACTGTAACACCACATAATGTTCTTGATTCTTGGGTCAAAAGCATTAGCCATCAGTACCACAAACACTATGAAGAGCAAGGTATTTGTTTAGATCCTCTCTCCCATTTTTTCTCATGAAATGAACCTGCTAATATGTGTAAAATTTACACTCATCTCCAGCAGCAGGTGCTCTCTGGGCCTTGGTTTCAATGTTTAGCTCTCACCAGAAAGGATATTTTTCTCTAAATGCAAACTTCCCTGCTGAAACTTGTAGAATCATTGACACATCATTGACAAAACCAACATTTAACAGTGGTTTGTTTCTTCAAGCCAGGGCAGCCATCAGAAAAAATGAAATATACAAAAACTCTGCACTCAGTAACTTAATGGTAAAAAATGAGTTTATTTTAGAAGTAAAAAATAACGAAGTTACAAACAAAAGACATATTTTCTAGCTAGGATTTTATTCTTATATAAAAATATCTCCAAAAGCCTTTAATAAACAGTCTATGATACATCCTGCATCACACTATACATATTTAGCTTTTCTGTGATTAATAATTTGAAACTATAGCTAAGGTCCAGAGCAAATTGTCTCAAGGTGACCATGTTGTAGCTGGAGAGTGCCTGGTTTGGGCCCGTGAGGTGAGCCTTTGTCTGAGCCGCCACACTTCTGCCATCAGCTCCCGCTCCTGGCGTGCCAGTTCTGCTCGTCTTCTGCCTAAAGACATTGAAGTGCAAGAAACTTGATATTGCATCTAGCTGTTTTCCATCAACACTACAAATACCTGTTGGAAAACGGACATCTCTGGCAGAGAAATGCTGGTTTTCAGTACCACTGGATGTGGGGCAGCCCTCAGATTGGTAAGAGCAAGTTCTTTGAAAGCGGTGCCTCTGTTTGCCACCAGGTCAGATGCTAATGGGGGCTACAGCAGGTCCACAGTGTTGCTGTGGGATCTCGGTCTCCTCAAGGCTGAGCCCCTCTGGGATACCCTCTCAAAGGGGAGTTTCCCTTATCTCAGTTCCCACTGTCTGCAGACTTTTGTACATAAGGTGCATGGGAATTTCAACTGTGCTTTCACTGCCAGAGTAACTAGGACAGACCAGAGGAAATTAGATTAATTCTTGACTATCACTTCCAGTCAGATTTTGACGAAAGGTAGCTCTACATCCTCTCAACATTCCCAAACCATAAACAGCTATGAAGACAGGAAAAGCATGGGCAAGATGATCAGGTTAGAATGCATCTAAACTAGGCTGAGGTTTACTAGGACCACTCTCATAACATGACACACTTCAGGCACTTCCTACCTGTGCCACCCCTGGTAGCAAAGACATCTTCTGCAGGTGTGAAAGAGAACACAACAATAAATTGGTTTACTATCAACTAAACACCCACACAACTAATGACTCAATCACACAGCCAGGTGTTCAAGCAATGCTCTGAAGCTAAATGTGAAAGAGACTCCTAACTTAGAAACTTACTGTGTGGTGATGATGCTAATGTAGACAAATCATCGAGACATATGTTTCCAGACCTTGGCACCTGCTGGACTTCTACCCCTCTCTCTGTACACCTGGCCTTTAAATTGTGCAGGCTCTCTGTGGGAAAAGGAAAGAAGGGTTCTTTATAAATTAAAAATATTGAAGCTTCTAGTGAATTTTTCTAGCTGGAGGTAAAACAGTTTTTCACCAGGAAACAAACCTAGAACAATCACCCACTTCAGTTAATGGCAAGTACAATTTGCTCAGAATTAGAGGTCAATGTTTCTACTCTTCGGGTCAAAGCTATGCATCACTGCATTTCATTTTAAGGAATTACAGCTCTGTAATTTCATTAATTTCTTAAAATTCCCTTTAAGAAATTACAGCTCTTTAAGAAATTACATGTGCTGTTTCTTCCTATGTAATTAATCTTCTGACAAATAGGCCACTAAGATCATATGGAATATGGCTACTCATGCTTGTAGGAGCCACCCATTTTAACTATGCACAGTTGCAAATTACTCCATACTAAACATTAGGTAAATAAGGACAAAGGCTGAAAAAGTTTGCCCAAAGCAATACTAATCACCTAACCCTAATATTAATCATTAATTTTATGTGAGCCTTGGAAGCATGGTGGGAGGATAGGAGAAATACCTGCAAAAACACACATATGCAGCACTTGAGAAGGATGTACTGGCCAATTCTGGAAGCACATAAATATGTTGGGGTTTGTTTGGGTTTTTTTTGAACAAACACTTGGAAAATCCATTCCTTGATATAATACTGTATGTCATCACAGGACAACATTATCTGCCAGAAAATTTTGAATGGATGTGATTTTACGATTGTTTTAAGATGACCTAGAGCTGTGCTCTTACC